CTCTCTCTCTCTCTCTCTCTCTCTCTCAGTCCGGTACTAACCTGTGAAGGTGGCGCCTGGTTGCAGGTACCTTGAAGACGAAGCTGGAGCTATGGCGCCACAGGTAAGTCTCCCTGGCCTCCGCCACCATCTCTCTCTCTCCAATACTCCTCTAGCTCCTAATAGCGCCCAGCGCTGAAGACTACTGCTAACGCCACTACTACTACTGCAGTGCTCCTCCAGACTGCTGCGGCCGAATCCTGAAGACTGCCTCCTGCCTCCTGCCTCCTGCACGCGAAGTGCCTGGGTAAGAACTACCTCGTGACTACCTCGTGACTGCCTGCAGCCTGCAGGGCGGGCCAGACTTATGTAGTGCTGGCCCGTCCAGGAGGCTGCTCTTGCCAATGCCAAAATGTGCCAGACCCTGGTGTTCAAGTTCAAACAAAGGTTGTCTTGAAAACAGGCCAAAAATGGCCTGTGCTAAAAACCCTGGTCTGGTGCCTAAGTTTCAGGGCAGGTCGACTTTATGAGGGCCTGAAAATGGCCCTCGTTTTCAGGCTTTTAGGCTGAAACGACACAGGGCCTGTAGGCCCTCGTTTTCAGGCTTTCAGGCTGAAACGACACAGGGCCTGTAGGCCCTTGTTTTCAGACTTTCAGGCTGAAAACGACACAGGGCCTGTAGGGCCCTTACTTTCCTTGTTTGGTCGGGCCTTGCAGGCCCGTGTGGATGCGCAGTATGCCACAGGTGTCAACCAACCGTCAGCACCAGAAAATGTGTTGGGACCACACACAATGCCAGCTCAACGTGACCCAGATCCCAACCGCTTTGCTGAATGTGTATAACAAACACTACATGAATGGCGAAGAGACAACGCCGACAAAACTGACCGATCCGTATCAACCGACAAAAATGACCCCAAAACCGACAAAACTGACCGCAAAACCGACAAAACTGACTCCAAAACTGACAAATCTGACCACGCCGTATCAACCCCAAGTGGGTGAACAGTAAACACGCCTAACTGTTAGTAAACAGATCATGGGTTCAAAAAAAGGGGATAACTGGTAGAAAGCGCCCACGCCAAAACCTTTTCGGTTTTGGGTGCCCAAAGGTCGACCGTTTGGTACTACCGGCCCAATGTTGTCCATGTGGGGTACTACAGGCACACGCATCGCTCCAAGGGCCCTACCGGATCATGAATCTGGCACATACACAGCGCGAGATTCATTTTAACATCGAAGAGGCCGAGGGTAGTGCCGCTGAAGGATAGAATGAGGCCCACGTACAGTATTTTGAAAAAGAAGGGCCCTACCGGTTCACGAATGTGGCGCAAAAACAGGGCCAAATTCTTGAACCGGTAAAAAAAGGGCCAGGGAGCTGTGGCCACGGCGCGAAGGCGCCTTTCACCCAGGCTGAAGACGTTTGGGCTGGTAGTACCAAACGGCCAAACTTTGGGCGCCCGTTTTGGCGTGGGCGCTTTCTACCAATTATCCCGTTCAAAAAGGCTGCACAAAGTACTTCAAGTCATCGCTTATTGGATATCAGCATTTTCAAAGTGCTGTTCCGTTTTAAGAATTGATTTGAGTTGATTTTACTATCGTCAATCAAGAGTGCGCTGTCTCTCGAGTATGTTCTCTGATGAACTTACAGAAACGCTGCATGTTTGTGCCGATCCCACTATCGTAACCCCGTTAGTAAACAGATCAAGGGTTTGAATCCTGGTGGAACTAGATGGACATAATAAAATGTATCTGGTGACGATCTCCGCGGCTTTAGGATTTTCTTAAAGCTCTCCTCCTCTTTGGTGCCCTTGTCGAAGGGTGTGTATATGGGCCAGAAGCCATCCAGGGTGCCAGGGAGGGAGTTTGGGACCCAGGGGGGTTGGGGGTGGTCCAGGGGTTCCGGTGAGCCCCCTTTTGTCTCGGATTGCTGCCCTTCTTGCCTGGAGTACTGGCCGGCAAATTCGACGAAAATTGCTAAAACATTGGTTCGCCGGGTTCGGTGCCTTCCTCCCAACCACCACTACCTCCAAGTCTCTTTGCCCCGTAACCGATTTCTGCTGCGGCCAAGTTCGAAATGGGAAAAGGAAAAAAAAAAATAAAAAAAAAATTGGCACGGTGCTGCTTTTTTCCTAGGTTACCAATGGTCCGGAGGCCGGTCGTCTCCCCCCGACCTCTCCGTCGAACGTCCGTGGTCCGGGTCGTCCGGATCGCCGGACGACGGTTTTTTTTGGGGGGGGGGGGAAGTCAAAAAAAAAAAAAAAAAAAAGTTGTCTTGCACTGCTCTAGGGGACCCCCCACACCAAATTTGACATGAAACAGAGTATTTTTGTGATTGATTGATTGATTGATTGATTGACTGATTGATTGATTGATTGATTGACTGATTGATTGATCGATTGATTGATTGATTGATTGATCGGTCGATTGTTTGACTGATTGATTGATTGATTGATTGATTGATTGATTGATTGATTGATTGATTGTTTTGATCGGACATCGACATAGCAATCACACAATGTACGCAAAGTAATCAAGAGCGTACTCATAAGCAATGTACATTGTAAACAGAGTACCCACCACGCACGACCACAACATTGGACCCGAATGTAGCCTCCAGCACTCTCTCGCCAGTGAGGACAATCAATGAATCAATCAATCAATCAATCAATCAATCAATCAATCAATCAATCAATCAATCAATCAATCAACCAACCAAGCAATCAACAAATCCGTCAATCTTAACAAGAGCGTACTCATAAGCAATGTACATTGTAAACAGAGTACCCACCAAGCACGAGCACAACATTGAACCCGAATGTAGCCTCCAGCACTCTCTCGCCAGTGACAACAATCAATCAATTAGTCAATCAATCAATCAATCAATCAATCAATCAACCAACCAATCAACGAATCCGTCGATCTTAACGGATCCTTTTGTTCAAGATTGATTGATTGATTGATTGATTGATTGATTGATTGATTGATGGTGGCGGGCGGAGG